AGTATCTTGGTTCTCAACTTATTAAAGAACTGAAGGGAACAGAATCAACCAGAGAAGCCTGTGCCAAACTGAGGAAATCCACTAGAAATATTGAAAAAATTCCGTCTATTACACTCTCCATTAACTACAAAGGTGTCAAGTTTATTGATGCCCAAACAAATGTATGTATACTATTTTATTGTGTATTATGGAAGTGATCACATAAATTCACATTTTTGGGGTAAATAGAAAGATATACAAGTACACAATAAGAGCCTTCAAGCATGCTGTCTGTGCACATGTGTTTACCTGGTAGTTTACATCAGATATCAATGAAATGGTATTTCAGTTCAGTCACTTGAGATGCTGCTTTATCTCTACCAACTACTGTTCTTGTTTTTTTTTCCTTTTTTTTTTAATTGTTTTTTTCACTCCTCGCCTTGTAGGTGGTGATCACTGAGCATGCTATACGCAATATATCCTGTGCAGCTCAAGATCCTGATGACTTGAAAGTGTTTGCTTACATCACCAGAGATGACAGAGTAAAGAAGGAATATTGCCACGTCTTCAGTGTCAAGAGTAATGTAAGTAATGCTGCCCTCTAGTGACAAGTTCACAAGTTTAGTTTGTTTTTAGTCCCAGTTCGAATGAAGTCCGAAAACGGGGACTTATAATTCGGTCTCCGTCCGTGCTCAGAATCCCTTGGACCGATTCCGTTCATTCTTTGCACATGCAGTGGTTTAGCGATTCGATTCAAAATGGCCAACTAGCAGCCATCTTGTTTTTTGAAAATGTTGTATTTTGGACATGCTTTGTCAGTTGTCATTCAAACTTGGTACATAGATTATACATGTTAGGTTACATGTCCAGTACAATTTATTGCGCAATTGGATCAAAGATGGTCGACTGGCAGGCAATCTTGTTTTTGTTTTTTTATGCGGTATCTTGGAAGTGCTCTGTCAGTTGTCATTCAAACTTGGTACATAGATTTACATGTTTTACATGTCCAGTACAATTTATTGCGCAATTGGATCAAAGATGGTCAACTGGCAGGCATCTTGTTTTTTTTTTATGCGGTATCTTGGAAGTGCTCTGTCAGTTTTCATTCAGATTTGGCACATACATTTACTTTATACATGTTAGGATGCATGTCAGTGACAATTTGTTTCAAAATCTGGTCAAGGATGGCCGATTGACAGCAATCTGACTTTTTGGCCTTACTACTATATTTCCACAATTTATGTACCATTTTCATTTGTATTTGGCACATACATCATACATATCAGTGTGTTTCATAATCAGATCAAAGATGGCCAAATAACGGCTGTTTTTATTTTTGGCCATATTACTACTACACGGAACACGTGTTTTGATGTAAATAAACAATCTGTTGTATACGCAACTTGGAACTCAAGTTTCAAGGACAAACTTGAGTTAGCTTTAATATGACGGCACAAAGAGAACTTTCAAAAATTTAGCGGGGACTGTGTCATTTTCAATGAGTTGTTAATTTATATATTACTTTTCTGAAACTCTGAACCATTTCTGCACTTCTATTCTTCAGGAGCTTGGTGCTGAGGTGATTTTAACTCTCGGGCAATGTTTTGAAGTTGCGTATCAGAAGTTGATGAAAGAAAAATCTGGAGATTTAAATCCACTCTACAAATCTAATGACATCAATCCGTTATATAGTCCACAAACGATGTGAATTCCGGAGTGCCAAATGAACATTTCATGCATCAATTGAATGTAGATTAGTTTTGTTTATATGTTCTATGCACAAAGAAGAAATCATCTTCCTGTAAATTGTTGAAAAGGAACTCTTCCAACTTTTAACTGTAAATAATCTTGCCAAATGTGTGTATGCAAATTAGGCAGCATGATCAAGATTGGGTTAACCAGAATGCACTTGATTTTATCAGGTGTATGTGCACACAGCCAAAATCTATCGATTGGGGTACTTTATTGGCCTGAAGATAGTTCATCGTAGTGGGCTCGATGAATATACATTAAGTTTGGCCTATAATGCCATGTGTTACGGCATGTTATTGCATAGCAACAAGAACATGCGAGGAACGAAAATAATGTTCATAACTAAATTCTTCACTACCAAATAATAATTATTGTAATTATGGAAGCTTGACTGCATAATCCAGCTAGTTCTTATAGTTATATTAACCCATATCAAGTCACAAATATTCAGTCGTACTTGATAGACAGTATAACCATTGGGCAGAACCAAATCAAATGTGTGTGGAGTTAACGAATAACAAACATTGACTCTATGTTCAGTCTATGAACAAATTTTAAACAAAATTTACAAAAATATCCATATATTTTGCCTTATAGATGTTTCTCAACTAAAATACTCTTTTTTTTTTTTTTGTTCAGAGACTGTTATGTAAAACCTTTTAGCATGAGACTTATTTCTTAAAATAAATCGACTGGATATAAATAGTACCGGTACAGTACATGTTTATAATGAATATCATACCTGAGTAATAATTGTATTCCTCACTACAGCTATCAATGTATACAAACAATAAATTTTAATACTTTGTATTGTTTTGGAATTTCTGAAAATCTCACTATATCAGTTTTCACAGTCATTGTCAGAATGACTGCTTACCAATTTTACTTATGTCTAATGAACCAAAAGTACTTGTATTGTGAAAATGATTATTTTCATACTGAAATAGACATTGCACCGCAGATAAATGACCAAGGTGAAAACAAAAATTTCATCTTTTTTCATCACAAATACTGAGTTTAAATGTAGTTTCTTCAATTAGAAAAATGTTATATCTACAAAGTTTGTCTTTCTTGAAACCTTTAAGATGGTAGCAGCTAGCACACTTTTTTTTTGGAACATGGATTTTCTGAAATTATGCTTTGTGATTGGTTGTGTCAACTCCAACAAAAAAAACTTTGGCTACCCAAACTAGTTTTAATTATGAACTCCAATTATATGTAATTTACATTTAACTGTTATACGTTGTACGCTTAAGCTAATACCGGGATGGGGGGGGGGGGGGGGTCTATGCAGTACTTTGTTAGAAAATACATGTATTCCTATGATTGGTTGCAAATTATATTCTGTATATTACAAATATTTTTACTTGAAATGATCATTTCAAGATTTTTTTCCCAATCATGTGTATAAAAGTTTTTCATCAATATTAACATTTTGTGATGAAGGTTCACAGTGAAATGAAAGAAGAAAACACTTGTTTATGGTTGGAAGGTTTCATGCATTGAAACGAAATCTCTGGATGCTAGTTTCATCCTTGAATTCTAATGAAATTGTGTTTGTTAATAAGGACTATGATAGTGACAATACTTCGCTTTAAAATTTGCAGGTCATTTTTATCTGTTATTGATTCAGTAAATTGAAATAAAACAAAAATGTTTTTAATTGTAAATGTGTGTAAATAAATTAAATCAACAAACTTGTATTTTCAAGCTGTTTTATTTGGTAACAGCATTTTACTATAACCAGTGTTCTTTTCAAATATATTGATAAATCAAGCATAAAATGATTGAGCACTAGTCCTACTAGTATGAAGTTATTAAAATTTCCTGATGTACATGGTTCTTTTGTAGTATCAATACAAGTTTGACAGCCACAGAGTGCAAATGCTGTTTTTGTCATTAAGTAATGGACCATTTTCCAAACTTCACAAGTGCTAAACACATTTGATGACCAACATTGAAAAATCAGTATTTAAACATTGAACTATTAAAAAAAAAGAAATTCAAACTCAAAATAAAATCGTTTTGGGGGTTGTGCCTTTCATGAACAAAGATCTCATAAAAATACTGCATCTTTTTTCAAATGACATTCTAGATTTTATTTGTTCCCATGAATTGCTTGCCGCAGTAACTCATTGTAACAGTTGACACAGAATGTCATCCTGTATTTAGTAATCTTTGTTGCCATGACTACCAACAACTGTGATGTTCAATGATGATCTGTTCTTATTCCTCTTTGTAAACTAGAGTGGATTGCTGTTTTTGAACACATTACTATGGAGGAAAACTTGAAATCTTGTTAGTACAACATCACAAATAATCATGAAAACTTAACTTCAACAAATTTTTTTTATTTTGCGAAATTTATTAACCAATTTCTCTTATTTGGAAAATTTAAAATAATAGAATTTCTTTATATTTTGGTGGTGGTGGGGGTTCAACCTTTATTTTAAAACATTCAACTACACGAAGACTTTTGTACTTTGGTTTATTATTTGTATTGTTTATCACTTTGTTTTATGGAGACTTATTTGGGTATGTGTTAATACTTTTATTAATTTCATGCAGGACTTTAGCATTTGTGTTGATAGCATTGTTTGGGTAAAACTTTAAGGGAGAGGGTGATTTTATCTTGATATTAAGTTTTTTTTTATGATGGAATTTTACTTCTAATTGTGGAATTTAATGTTTATGCAAAGCCTTCATGTAATCAATTGTATGCAAATTAGAAACGAAACAATCTGCTGATTATTTTTGAGAAAAATGTCAGTGGAATTGTTAGTGTACATAACAAGTGTAACTGCTTTTGGGAAAATTTGGGGATTTTGGAAATAAAGAAGTTTTAAAGTAAATTCTGTAATTATTTTTTTTTATTAGTCCCTGTTGGGATGAAGTCCGAAAACAGGGACTTATAATTCGGTCTCCATCCGTCCGTCCGTCCAGCGTCATATTTCAGAATCCTTTGGACCGATTCCATTCATTCATTCTTTGCATGTGCCTAGTACTTTATGTGGGACATATGCACATGCAGTGGTTTAGCGATTCGATTCAAAATGGCCGACTGGCAGCCATCTTGTTTTTTGAAAATGTCGTATTTTGAACATGCTTTGACAGTTTTCATTCAAACTTGGTACATAGATTATACATGTTTGGATACATGTCCATGACAATTTCTTTCACAATTAGATCAAAGATGGCCAACTGGCAGGCATCTTGTTTTGTTTTTTATATGTGGTATCTTGGACATGCTTTGTCAGTTTTCATTCAAATTTGGCACATAATTTATACATGTTAGAATACATGTCCAGGACAATTTGTTTCAAAATCGCATCAAGGATGGTCGATCGACAGCCATCTGACTTTTTGGCCTTACTACTATATTTCCAAGATTTATGTACCATTTTCATTCGTATTTGGCACATACATCATACATGTCAGTTTGTTTCATAATCAGATCAAAGATGGCTGAATAAGTCTATATTTTTGGGCCATATTACTATAATTCTGTCACCCATGTATCATTTTCATTAATATTTAGCATGTCATAAATGGATATTCAATTTGCAATTTGATCAAAAATGGCCAACTGGCGGCCATCTTGTTTGTTTAAAATGTGATAACTTGGACCTGCTTTCACTTATGTTTTTCTTTGCTATGTCTTAAACCGGAGGGGTTGTCACGCAACAAGTGTTCGAATTTGATGTGAATAAACAATCTGTTGTATACGCCACTTTCGGGGACTGTGTCATTTTCAATGACTTGTTTATTGTACAGGAAATTGTTAGTTTTGCGTCACATATTCACATGTTAATTGCTACCATTGCCAGTGGTCATGTTTGTTTTCTTCTTATTTAACTAGACTGCGCAACAACGAAAGAATACTGGCACTGACATTGTTTACATTAATAGTGGGATTTGATATAATGTATCAATGTGACAATGAGTTTGCGTTTGCCCGCAACTTTGAACTTGGATTGGGGTTGTTCACAGACATCGTAGCAGAGAAAATGAGAATTGTGAAACTGCTGAAGATTTCTTTTGTGGCTATAGGTTATCGTTTTCTTTTGACAAAACTTAAAAGCATTCCAAACTATGCCGGTCTAGTCAAACAAAAGAATGTGTAAATGTGCATTTTTATCAGATATATACCAATTGGTGTTTTCAAGCCAGAAATTAAATATTTGACCCAAAACTACTAAGTCATAACATTGACAATCATGCGTCGGTGTCCTTTTTTTATTTCATTCATAAAAATTGGGGACACAGAAATAGTCTTTCTTGTTTATGTAGCGAAATTTGACAGTGACAACTGCAACGTTCCTCTTCTGCCGGACAACCCAGTTTACTTAGGCCATGGCGCAACTTAGGAAAATCTGTTGCAACCAGGGACATGCATTTCGATAGAATTCCACTCCCTACGAGCTAGAAACAAAACATTTTACCAACTAGCACAGCTGCAGCTAATCTCTTTCACTCCTTCATTCAGAATTCTGTTATTTAGGAAAATGCTGAATACTACATCCAAGCCCTCATGTGGAAAGCTTATACAATTCGTTGAATGTTTTTCATGACATGCGCAACGCATTTTATTTCAAGCGATTATACATTGGAATGGGAATGCCGATCGACCACACACCAGCGTGTAGACTTCTGCCGATGACAGCAGTGGGCGAAGATTGTCGAATAAAAGGTACATCGACTGCGCATATCATAACTACAGGCAAAATTGTTGGCATTAGCGTATGAATGCCGTATATCGTTGATTTCAACCATATGTTTTCAGACTGACCCTGGTTTTGACAACCTCATGCCCCCATGTTGCAAAGAAGCTTGTCTGTGTTTTCTTTGGAGCTTATATCACCTGCAAATTCAAAACTCAACAGTTTTGAAACCCATTTTCCTGGCAAAAGTAAATGGTCTAGCTGTCAATTTGACCATTCATGGCATTATTCACGTTTGACAAATAGAAAATATAATACAATGAATCACTGTTTCTTGTGTTTTTGTTGAGCTTTTAGTCACCGTTGTTGCTTTGGGCGAGGGCGACTTCATTTGAATAACAGACTCCGTCCATGCTTGTTTTTATACCATGTCGGTCTTTAAGGTGTGGTAATAGGGGAAAACAAGTAATAGTTTAATTGTGATTAGGGCATTCTCTACAATTTACTAAACATGGAACTATGACAGTATATATATTTTAAGCAAGCTGAAATACAAGAGAATATGATTGTGTAATTTTTTGTGTGAATATTTGCTTTAGAAGATTAGGTTACATGAAGTTCTCATTAACCTCTAAAAATATTTTTTTCCACAAGATTGGTCAATTCTCACTATTTATTCATTCTATGTTTTAGATTTTTTTCACAGTTACTTTTCAAAAAATATTTTTTAAAATCAGATCTTGAAATTTGTACATGTTCAGGAGATATAGTCTGTCAAACATTTCATGTGTGTTTGTGAGTTTGTGGCTATAA